TTTGTTTCATAAACAGAGTTTGGTAGGATCCTTCTTTGCCTATTATCAGAAGAGCTTTAAATGTCAAACAAGGACATTTATAGTTGATCCTAGAGTTCATAAGGAGCCATAGGAGTTTATTAAGAAGGAGACTGATGTGTTCAGACCTGTACTTTAAGAAAATCCCTTCGGCTACTGTTCAAGGGTGAATTGGAACTTTGGGCAAGAAGACCAACTAGGAGGCTATCGCAATAGTCAAGGTGAGAGTGATGAGGACCTGAGGTCACTAGGTGAGTAGAAAGGAGACTTAACATGAGAAATGTGGAGATTTAAAAACTAAAAAACTAAAAACAACCAAACCAAAAGAGTTAAGAACAGATGGAATATGTGGTTATGAAAGAATGAAGAGTTACTGATAAAACTGAGGCTGCAAACCTGATTAGAACAATAGAAGTGCAGTGGGTAGAAACAGCGAAATTGGGAGAACAGTGAGTTTGGTTATGTTAAGAATGCGTTGCCTATCAGGAATCCAGTTTGAGGTTTGTTGTGGTAACACAGCTCTATCCCTAATCATTAACTCACTATAATACTGAGATCTGTGGGATGAGATGAGGGGATGTGGAAGAACCATGTGGCCGAACTTCATATTGTATTACCTGAGGACTGAGAAAAGGAGTTGGTTTAGGAAGGGGGTGGAGAGGGAATAGATAAGGAATACTTAAAGATTCCTTTGCTCAAAAATGAGTTGATCCAGTTGCTCTGGGGGACTGCATCTCCTCAAAGAGAACCAAAGGAGGCTGATTGTGGGAGTCACAATGACATGTAATAGAAATATCTTAAAGAGATCTTGGAACATACTTTAGGCATTCCATGACTGGTTCTCCTCATTTTCTCTACCAATGAAAAGAGTATTATGCAAATGTCCCAGGCCTGAGACCTGAGTTACAACTCATTAGTTGTTGTTCAGTCATGTCCGCCTCTTCATGACCTCATCTGGGGTTTTCTTAGCAAAGATACTGGAGTGTTAGTCATTTTCTTCTCCAGCTCATTTTACAGATGAGGAAACTGAGGCAAACAGGGTTAAATGACTTGCCCCAGGTCACACAGCTAGGAAGTATCTGAAGCCAAATTTGAACTTGGGAAGATGAGTCTTCCTTACTCCAGGCCTGGCACTCTACTCACTACGTCACCTAGCTGCTCCAGGTTACAATACATTTACCAATTAGAAACTTTTTTTGGGGAGGGGGGAAGGTTCGAGGAGAGAGGAAGGGAAATCAAATCATAGCTAGAAAATATTGTTTCACACCTTAGAAGGAATTATTTTAATGAGACATTGAGAGTAACACCTGGACCAGATTTCTTAACCTTTTTTTGAGTCATGGATCCCTTTGACAATCTGGTAAAACCTATCAGAATAATATTTTTAAATTCATTAAATAAAATACATAGGACTACAAAGGAAACCAATTATACTTCTAACAGACGCAGTCCCGCCCCCTACAAGTTGAAGGCCAGGTGTGTTAGATTTGACCATTTCACCCCTTCCTCAGGGTTCTCTGTATCCTTAAGAAGATTGAGGGGCGGGCTCTCTGCCATTGGCTCCAGCTCCCACTAATGGTATCCCCCCTTATGTAGGGGGTGTGGTTCCCTGCACTCTAGTTCCCATTAGCCAGTAACAACCATATCAGTTTTTATACAGAAATCTTTACTTCAAAAGGTAGAATCACAAACATACACATTTACTTCCCCATCATGTGAGATGCATAACCCTCCTTCCTCTCTTTGTACCACCTCAGTCACTGGAGAGGGGAAAGGGGTTAGTTCAGTTACTATAGAGCACAGTCTTAGTTTCAAGTCCACAGTCCCTCTGGGGCTGGAGTCCCCATGCACCCTGGTTTCTCCAGGCTTCCATGACAGTTTGGCTGGATACACCACTCTGCCTGGAATCCTGGCTCCAAGTTTGCCAGGGTTCAAACTCCCAGATCTAGGGCGATCATTTATGAACCTGAGAACAAACAACATAGAACAAAAACAACCCCCCAGGCCCATTTCTTAGGGTAAAAGAGAGGGAATGGAATAAGGACAGTCCATCCTCACTGTGGGTAAACTGGGTAGATGCAGCAGATAAGAGGTGCTGAAGACAGAGTAACAGAAAGAGATCAACCTGCTCAGTTTTAAAGATGCAGGTAGTCAATCAAAGGAGACTAACCCCAACCGTGTGGTAGAGGAACCAGTGTGCTCCAGGTTAGGCAAACTGGGCATGCTCAAAAGGCTCCTCAAGTAGACCTCCATGTTAGACAAACTGGGCACGACCCAACATAACTCGGGTTACAGACAAATATAATTATCAAAATATTTTTCTTTTTTTTAGTTTTTAGGCAATTGGGGTTAAGTGACTTGCCCAGGGTCACACAGCTAGTAAGTGTCAAGTGTTTGGTCTGAGGCCGAGATTTGAACTCAGGTCCTCCTGACTTCAGGGCTGGTGCTCCATCTACTGTGCCACCTAGCCGCCCCTCAAAATATTTTTCAAAAACAAGTTTACAGACCCCGGGTTAAAAACCCCCTGACTTGGATGAATGTTGCTGGGTATTTAGGGAGTGAGACTTTTGAATGGGGAAAAAAAAGAAGAAGAAAGAAGTATTCTTTGTGAGAAAAGGGAATTTGGATAGCCACAGTCACTGTTACTAACCTTAACTCAGAGATTACTGTACAATAAGCAATTTTCTAATGAAACCAGGTAGTGTAAGCAGTTGACCTGGATAATTCAGGGCCAGAACAATGTTGGTTGAAAACTTTCTGCCTGATTTATCCAATCCCTCCCCATTTTTTTACTTGATTTTGGCCAGTTACATCTGGCCCCATGCTACTGTGAAGAGCACTGTCTCCAAATCCAGCATTTTACACAGGCTACTGATCTGCAGAAAGTGCAGATTGATAGTTTTGGATTCTGCAATTCCCAGGACACTGGGTCAAGTAACTGCAAGGCTTTCTAAATAGTAAATTCCACAAATGCTTTCTGGACTATTAGTTAAAACTAGGTCATTCGAGGACAGTTAGAAAGATCAGAAAGACAACCTGGTTGGTTGAGCTTGCAATGCTATAATGCCATTTATTTTGGAAACCTATGACACACAAACCCCACATGTATACCCAGCTCAAACTGGCAATCAGCTGAGTATACACATGGGAGCCAAGGGAAATGGTGGGTCATAGTAGTCTGTCAGGGCTAACGGTACCCCACCCTCCTCATAGCAATGACTTTTGTGCTTGGTCCTTTCTATGTTAAGAGCCGTGGATGTGGAGTCAAAGGGTCTCAGTTTGAATCCTGCCACTTACTACCTTCCTGACCTTGAGCAAGTTACTTAACCTCATTGGGCCCAATTCCTCATTTCTAAAAAGAAGGAAAGTAGGGGGAGGAGAGAAAGGATGGACTCCATAATTAATTACTAAAATCGCTGACCCTTTAGACCAGAGATTCTTTTCCTTTTTTGTGTGTTACCGGAGTATGCTGTTAAATGTTTAGCACCCAGCTCTCTGGGGGAAAAAACAAAAAAAAACAAAAAAACTCACAACACACTTTAAAGCTTAACCTGCATTATTAATATCTTAATTATCAGTTAATTAACACTAACATTTTAACATTTCATCACTTTCTTCAGTCTAGACAATCAACCAAACAATAAATCATGCCCTGATTTGTAGTTTGCCAATTTGAGATGTAACTGCTCATGCTGAAAATTTAACAGTGTACTAGCTACCTCCAGCAAGCCCCTGCATGTACCCCTTTGACAGTCTGATGAAGTCTATGGACTTTTCTCAGAAAAATGTTTTTAAATGCATAAAATAAAATTCATAGGGTTACAAAGGAAATCAATAATCAATCAGTAAACATTTATTAAGCACCTACTACATGCCAAGTACTGTGCTAATTGCTGGGGATAGGAAATGATAGCTAACATTTAACACTTATATAGCACTTATTATATAGCAGGCATCTTACTAAGAGATTTACAATTGTTATCTCCTTTGATCCTCACAACATTCCTGGAGGTGGTGTGTGTGTGTGTGTGTGTGTGTGTGTGTGTGTGTGTAGTGTATGTATGTGTACATATACACACACACATATTCATGTGTATATATAAAATATATATTATATATGCATATATATATTTCTCCATTTTACAGATGAGACAACTGAGGCAGAGGTTAGGTGACTTGTTCAGTTTCACACAGCAAGTAAATACCTGAGGCCACATTTGAACTCAGCTATTTCCCAGAGCTCCATCCACCTCCCCATTTAACTTAAAAAAAAAATTACACTTAAATACAGGTATACAAAAATTTTAAGACATATTCATAGATCCCTCTCTGCCTTAGATCTAATAGACTATTAGCTCTCTGGGTACAGGGCCTGTTTCAGTTTTATGTGTTATCTCCAGAGCTTGGTACATAGTAGGCGTCTAATAAATGTTTGCTGAATGTTAAACGAATGAATGACTGCCTTCCAGGTCTAAGGCAATGAGGCTCCGTGTGCTGCCGCTGTCGCTGGTACGGGAGGAGCAGAGCAGGCGGCACGGACGCGCTTCCGAGCCGCCCCGTGCCCCTCCCGCCCAGCCCTAGGAGCGCACGCAGCTGCTCCCTACAGAACAGTCGCAGCGCACTCATGCCTGCTTCTCACGGACAAAGCCAGCTCCGCGCAGCTGAGCGCTAGTGCTCAGTGAGCCTGCGCGAGCCGCATGCGCCGTCCCCACTTCCGTAGCGTTACGTACACCGGTAGAGACGTGGCTGGGGAGGCGGTGTCTGTTGCGCAGGCGCAGTAGCCACCACCATTGAGTCCGAGCTGCTGGCTGGCCTGAGAAGAGGCCTGCGGGACTAAGTCTGCGGGTCCTGACCGCGGCTCCCTCCGACCCGGGCGGCGGGGTCCTGAGCGCCGCGCGCGGCAGGAGGAAGGTTCCGGGGGGCGCTCTTTTCCTCCCTCCGCGGGGCGAGTACCCGCCCAGCGGGGCGGTGGCGGCTGCAGCGCCAGAGCCAGGCCCGGGGCGGGGAGCCGGCCCCTCCGCCCCTCCGCCGCCGGCATGAAGCTGGTGAGGAAGGACATCGAGAAGGACAACGCGGGCCAGGTGACCCTGGTGCCCGAGGAGCCCGAGGACATGTGGCACACGTACAACCTGGTGCAGGTGGGCGACAGCCTGCGCGCCTCCACCATCCGCAAGGTGCAGACCGAGTCCTCCACGGGCAGCGTGGGCAGTAACCGCGTGCGCACCACGCTCACCCTGTGCGTGGAGGCCATCGACTTCGACTCGCAGGCCTGCCAGCTGCGGGTCAAGGGCACCAACATCCAGGAGAACGAGTACGTCAAGATGGGCGCCTACCACACCATCGAGCTGGAGCCCAACCGCCAGTTCACGCTGGCCAAGAAGCAGTGGGACAGCGTGGTGCTGGAGCGCATCGAGCAGGCCTGCGACCCGGCCTGGAGCGCCGACGTGGCTGCCGTGGTCATGCAGGAGGGCCTGGCCCACGTCTGCCTCGTCACGCCCAGCATGACCCTCACCCGCGCCAAGGTGGAGGTGAACATACCCCGCAAGCGCCGGGGCAACTGCTCGCAGCACGACCGGGCCCTGGAGCGCTTCTACGAGCAGGTGGTGCAGGCCATCCAGCGCCACGTCCACTTCGACGTGGTCAAGTGCGTGCTGGTGGCCAGCCCCGGCTTCGTGCGAGAGCAGTTCTGCGACTATATGTTCCAGCAGGCTGTGAAGACGGACAACAAACTGCTGCTGGAAAACCGGTCCAAGTTCCTTCAGGTACAGTAATCACCCTAGCCAAAGGGAGGACCCAGATTAGAGCTTATGGATTGGCATAAATCTTAATAAACAGAGTAGCAGTGAGGATATGTAAAGGGACAGGATGGGAAGTGACATTCTTCTTAATCATATCCAGTCATCCCTAAAATGTAACCTGGGCATTAAAAAGAAAATTAATGTCTAATTTTTTACCATTTTCACATGCATATCATATATATACTTAACAATAAGCAGGTTGATACTACAAGAGTTAAATATCTTACAAATCTGTATTATAAACTGAAATGTTTCTACATAAGGAAAACAAGGTTAATGCCTTGCATGCTTTGACACTTTGGTTAGAGTTGACCTATTTAACATTAATTGGACAGGTATGAGTTAACTTTTTAAAGGTAGAATATGTGCTCTGAAAGATTTCATCTAACTTCTGTAATTGTGATTCCAGGTACATGCCTCTTCTGGACACAAATACTCATTGAAAGAGGCCCTTTGTGATCCTACTGTGGCCAGCCGCCTCTCAGACACCAAGGCTGCTGGTGAAGTGAAAGCCTTAGATGACTTCTACAAGATGTTGCAACACGAACCTGACCGAGCTTTCTACGGACTGAAGCAGGTGGAAAAGGCCAATGAGGCCTTGGCAATTGACACACTGCTCATCAGTGATGAGCTTTTCAGGCACCAGGATGTAGCCACCCGAAGCAGATATGTGAAATTGGTGGACAGTGTCAGAGAGAATGCAGGCACAGTTCGGATATTTTCTAGTCTTCATGTATCTGGGGAGCAGCTCAGCCAGTTGACAGGAGTTGCTGCCATTCTGCGCTTCCCTGTCCCTGATCTCTCTGACCAGGAGTCTGGTTCAAGTTCTGAAGACGATTAATGATTAGCACTTGTAAAAAGAGACCATTTACTGCCCAACTTCTTCACCTACATAAACTAATAAATAGAACAGATGTTCTCAGATCAAGTATGAAAGCTGCTAGGAAGGTTCAGTTTCATTTACATGAGAGGTTTTTCTTGTCAGGCTATTCTCTTTCTGTTGGAAGACCTATACAACTAGAAAATAAGAGAAAAGTGATGTCTAATTTTATCCTTATTCACATTGGCAGTTATTTTTAGGGTAAAAATGGTTTAGAGATACTTAGAATAAGTAATTTGATACTTACAAAAAAAATTGTTACATCAGCAGCATTCAGAGTGTGTACTATACTGGGGATAAGCTACTGTTTTTAATTTGTATTTTCAGAGTGCATTGTGGTAATTTTACTTCACAGATAGTTAAACTGAGTGTTTTTTGAAAGATGGATAGAAAATTAACCAAAGAAAACCTAAAAACTGACATTATTGTTAAGGAAATTACAGGAATTGAATGAGATCTTTTTTAACATGCCTTCAAGAAGCCATTGTGCTTATCTTTAACTGTTAACCTTATACTATACTGTGCACTACTTATCCTGCTATTCATGGAGTTTTAGAGTAGGAAGGAACCTTTGTAAATATAAACTTGAATGTTACAAATGATAAACTGAAGTCCAGAGAGATTAAAGTGACTTCCCTGACTTCAAGCAGCTAATTATTAGCAAAGGTCATAATAGAATCTAACTGTGACTTCATGTATATGGTCTTTCTGTTTATACCATGTACTTATTTTGATTTGTCAAATTTATTAATTGTTGTATTATTAGAATTTCAAGTTATCTGACTTTAACTTAAATACCTGGGAGCTTTAAAGCAGTATTTTCTAGATTCTAAACAATTTTGGTTTAGTCATGCAATTGCATCATGATTGAATAGAGCCTATATGCAGCAAAATAATAAGCGAGGACATGTTTGACTTATAATTGAAAAAGGGTGCTAGGTAATTCTTTAGTTTACTACAATGTCAGTGAAATGGTCTATTCCTATTTGAAATAGTAGATTGTATTTTGCTCATGGTCTGTGGATATCAAGTGGAAAGTTTTAGACATTCATTAACTCCTTATAAGTCCAAAATGATGTGATTTATTTCCTGTTCTGACAGCTGACACGTGTAAATGAAATCTACTGTTAATCCTAACTACCATTTTAACCAGTATTTTACATGTACCTTCTCAGCGAATCTCTTCTCAAAGTTGCTAACCCTAAGTAAAAAATAGATCTTGCTTTTAAATCCAGGCCTCTCCCCTACTTTACAATTTCTCTTTATTTAAGCAAAAAAAAAATTGTTATGTTCCCCCCTACACACATATACACACACACACACACACACATACTTTAAATAAGCTTATATTGTACTTGACAAAATGAATGACATTAAGATATATAACAGATATGTTGGTTCTTTAACTTAACCTCCTAGAACACTCCATTTTCAAATACAGCAAAGCAATAGGATCACACCTGTGTCATTAGCTTATGCTAACTGAATATGGCAAACCATTAGCATATAGCGATTTGATAGTTTGACATTGTGCATATATTAATCACTGTTTCAGTTTTGTTGACCTTGATTTGAACTTTGCAGTGAAAACTGGATTATTCATGTAAAAGTTGTACTAAAAAAATCCAGTAATTTTTACCATTGCTTCACATTTTCCAGGAAGGCATGTCCTTTAGTTCAGAAAATTCTGCCTTAAGCCAAGATATTTTCTGTTGTCAAATGGCCAAAAAGCAAATATACTCACATGTAGGCCATGCTTTATACAAAATTAAGTCTTTTAAAGATACCCATAACAATATTAAGATAATTTGCATCATTGTAACCATGAGGGGCCACCTGGAAATCAGGAAGACCTGGGTTCAAGTACAGTTTCTGATGTGGTGTTCTTCTAAGCCTGTCATTTAATCTCTCAGGCAACTCTTTCAGACTAAATTGCTGAATAGTTTCAGGTTTGTTTTTGTCTTGTCCAGGGAATTTCCTCACTAAGAATTCTCTGTATCAGTGAAATCATAGACCCTACCCCTACCAAAGAGCATTTAAATCAAAAAGGTCTGCTTGTGTTCAGATTTTAATTCTTTTCTCTCCATAGTAATCAAATACATATCTGAAAAAGTTCTCTAATATTTAATAATTTGTAAAAATCTTTATTTCCAAATCTCCCTTTAAAAACAAGTGTTTTGGGAATGGCTTACTTTTCTTTTAAATCTGAACAAAGAAGACCATTAAATGTTTTGTGTGAAGAGGATCTGTGGAATTAGCAGGATTCAGAAAAGGAGGCAATTCCTAAGAGGGTTTCTGAGAGTAGGTTAGTGGAAGATCTCTGGAGGCCTTGAATTTAAACATGCCATTGGTTAAGAATAAAACATTTTGAGTAACATAATGGTTCCTTTTATGCTCTTAAAATTCTTGCTGCCTTTAATAACTTAAAAACATGTCATGGCTTATACCTTTCAGGGATATATTGGTGCGCAAATATTTATCATTTTTCAGTTGGAACAATTTGAAGCTTGTTTTGGTTTGCCTTATCTTGGATTTCTGCAATGCAATGGTGCTTTACTTTGGTATACTTAATTTGAAAAAAAAAAACATTTTAGTAAAGTCCTTGAAATAAAAATATTGTAAGCTCTTAAAATGCTTAATCCTAGATTCTTAAAAAATTAGGTTGCAGGAGTTTCTTCCATATTCAGTACTTGTTGTTCAGTCATTTCTGACTTTGTGGCCTTGTGGGCCATGCTATCAATGCCGTTTTCTTGGCAAAGATATTGAAATGGTTTGCCATTTCTTCTCCAGTGGATTATGGCAATCAAAGGTTAAGTGACTTGTCCAGAGTCTGACACAGCTAAAATGTGTGTGAGGTCGTATTTGAACTCAGGTCTTCCTGACTCCAAGCCCAGCACTTTATCCACTGAGCCACCTAGCTACCTCCTTCAATACTAAGTAGTCTTTAAATATCTTTTTCTGTAAAATTATCCTTCATCTGTACCTTTTTATATCATCAGTTACGATTGACTCCCCTGTTGAGACAGCTTAGTTCTTTCAGAAATCCTGTTTGATAGAATGTTTATTTTCTGAACAACGATAAAAGTTCTAATTACATCAAAATGAAGTTCCAGTAGTGTATCGATTTGTTGGTATAGTAAATGGACAAAAATTACTCATTTAGTTTAATTATAAAGATAGTCTGAAAGCGTGATTATTAGTCCCTTTGATTCTGTTTGTTCCTCTCTGCCCCATTGCTGCACAAAGGGGCTTCACAGTACTGAAAACCATCTTCTGTTTTCCTCTATCTAATAGGTAACTGGCCAAAGAATTTGTTACTTCTAGCTATTAGGTGCTATCTGTACCATGACCACATTTGAAGCAGTTCTTTAGCACCTGCCAGAGCTTGCTCTGCTGACATTGTCTTTAATAACCCATTGTCCCCTCATATACCATGAAGAAGCATAAAAATTTGAATTTTTTAAATTGTTCCTTAAAAGGAATTCGCATGTGCCTATTTTAAGCAAGGCTACCACCCACATCCTATTCCATTGAAAATATGTTCTGATTGACATAAAATTTTACAGGAACATAAGCATTATGGCATTGTTATTATTTTTTGTCCAAGCTCAAAGAACTAAAATGGCATCACAATGTCTGACTGATCATACCAATAGGAATTTGGAAGGCTGTACTGCAGGTCAAGCACAAATAGTCTTTATGACCATTTGGGAAGAAGATGTCTCTAAATTTCTATTACTTTAAGTACACGTGTATACATGTATATACACTTATATACACATACACACAAAACCTAACAAAATACATATGTGTTCCTGAGAAATGAGACACAAAGGTTTAGTGTTTGTTTTTTGAAGGTTTTTTCCTGTTTTTTTGAATGTGTAATTACAATACATGTTACACAACAAATAGTTATGTGATCACAATACATTTACAAAGTAAAGTATGAATACATTCTTTCATTTGATCCTCACAAAAACCCTGTATTCCTACTTTTCAGGTGAGAAAACATTCAGACAGGTTAGGAGGCTTCCCCATAGTCAGAATTAATAGGTTTAGGTAGTGGGATTCAAATCCAGATCTCCTGACTCTAAGTCCAGGGGTCTTTCAGCTACTACCCTAATTCATAGCTCTAATTGAAATGAGAAAAAATTTTCCTTTATTTTAATTTCAGTGGCTCTGAACCTAATTTTGTGGTTTAAACAAGTGTTTTAATATTTTTTAAAAAAAAGTACAGGGGGAAGCTAGGTGGCACAGTGGATGGAGCACTGGCCGTGGAGTCGGGGGACCTGAGTTCAAATCCAGCCTCAGACACTTACTAGCTGTGTGACCCTGGGCAAGTCACTTAACCCCCATTGCCTCCAAAAGCCAAAAAAAAAAGTGTAGCTTTGGAATAACAAATCAGCATTTTCAGAAACAGATACCAGGAGATATATTACCAGGGATAAATTAATTTTATAATAAATGTAATTCATGCATAACATCTTTGTGTATTAAGGATGTCACATATATTTGAAATGTTTCAGAGGAGAGCTAGACAATCACAAAATGTTGCAAAATAGGATCTATAAGAAAAAGTCGATTTAGAATTAACATGTAGAAAGGTTTAATGCTTTTTTTATTTATTTATACGATGGATTCACACAACCTACAAAACCACAATCTAAAATTGGCAAAGAAAACCTAGAAATGGAAAATGTTACAGGAAAAAAAAAAGTGTAAAGGCTAGCACACTGTTTTGCCTATGTTGTTACTCATTAGTTTTATTGAAAAAATGAATAAATATGTAAGGAGGGAAGGATTGGATTATAAGTTTGATGCCACAACCCTTTGATTACTCCCAAGGGCCTTGAAGGGGAGGGTGGTAGCCTAAGTAGTACAGATGAATGAGGGATGATTGTTAAGTTAGAATTAAAACAATCTACTTAACTATAGTTCTTTATTTGTTAGGATTATGGACAGGGGGGGACAGTGTGGGTAGTTTAGTGAGAGCTGACTTTGGGTCCTGGAAGATCTAAGTTCCAGTCCCTTATCAACATATGCTGCCTAGGTGACCCTGGGAAAGTCAACCTCTCCTAGAACTCCCTCTTCTCTCTTCATTTCACATTATTCATGTCCTCCCCCTACTTTCTTCTTCAACCTTTTACCTTACCCATGTGAAAACATGAAAAGATGGCCTTTCACCTTACCAAGGCAAACCTTTCTATGTACAGCCTTGATCCCATTCTATCCTGTCTTCTCCAGCAGATTTCCCCTTTTATTATGCCCATTCTTTGACTAATCTTCAATTTTGTCCTCTCTTAGCTGCTTTCCTTCTTCCTGCAAACATGCCCATCTCTCTCTCATCCTTAAAAAACCCTTCCTTATCCAACCATCCTTGTTAGCTATCATCCATTAACTTTTCACCACTTTGTAGCTAAACTCCTTGAGGAAGTGATCTATACTAGGGTGGTTTCACTTCCCCTCTCTCTTCTGAACCTTCTGCAGTCTTCCTTCTGACCTTATCATTCAACTAAAACCACCCTCTCCAAAGTTGCCCATGTTCTTGTAATTACCAAATCAAATAGCCTTTTTTCAGTTCTTATCCTTGACCTCTTGCAGTTGATAATACTACTCTCTCCTTGCTTAAGTTTTCATATCTGATGTTCAAATGACTCAGGAAAAGAGGGAGGCTGACAGCTTTGCGCAATTCTGCTGCAACTTAAATCCAATTCACCCACAAGTCAAGACATCACGCATGATAACACTAGTCCTCTTCAAAAATGAAGGACCAACAAAACATTGCAAGTTTTCATAACAGGTCATTTCTGGTTCTCTTCCCGTCTGCCTAACTGACTGTTTCTTCTCAGTACTCTTTTACTCTTCATCCTGGTTGCATCCAATAATGACGCTTGTTTCCAAAGGATCTATACTGGGCCTGCTTTCCCTCTAAACTTTCTCACTCAGTCATCTCATCACCTACCGTGGGTTCAGCTATCAGATGATCCCAGATCTCTACATCCATCCGTACATAACCTTTCTTCTGAGTTTGTCTCGTATCACTAACTGCTTTTTGGACATCTTAAACTTAGACATTTGAAACTCAATATGTCCAAAACAGATTTTATTATCTTTACCCCCTTAACCTTTCCCTCTTTCTAACGTCCTTCTTACATCAAAGGCACCACCATCCTTTCAGTCATCAAGGCCTGCAAATTAGGAATCATTCTTAATTCCTTACCTACCCCACATATCTACTCTGTGCTCATCTTGTTTCATGGTTCTCATATGTGTTTCTTCTCACTGTCAGCTGCTGCCTGTGTGCCAGCCCTCATATCACTTCACGCTGCAACTATTACAATAGGTTTTTAGTTGGTCTTCCTGCCTCAAGGTTCTCCCTCCTCCAATATGTCCTCTACTCATCTGTCAAAGTGATTTTCCTAAAGCCAAGGTCTGACCATGCTATTACTCTACTCAGTAAATTCCAGTGGCTTCCTGTTCTCTCCTAGATAAAATATAAAACTATCTAGATGGTTTTTAAAGCTAGCTGGCCCCTTCCTACCTTTCTAGTCTATTTGCTCTGTAGTCTCCTTCATGTACCCTATAATCCTGGGAAACTGGAACCTTTGTCAGTTCCTCAAAAGAGACGTTCCTTTTTTAGACTCCAGACCTGGAGCCTTTTCACTGGGTGTCTGTCCCCGATTCCTAGAATGCTTTCTTTCCTCATTTTCATCCAGCCTCCCCAATTTCCTCTAAAACAGCTTAAATCTCACCTTCTTCAAAAGGCCTCTCCTACTCCCAATTCTTTAGTGTCTTCCTTCTGAGATTACCTTCAATCTACACGGTATGTATCTTACATCTGTCTATTCACTTGCACATTAGAATGGGAGCTCCTTGAAAGCAGGAACAATGTTTTTTGTTTGTTTGTTTTTGTTGTTGTTTGTTTTGTTTTATTTTTGCTTTTCTTGCTTTTCTTTGTTTCCCCATTGCTTAGTACAGTGCCTGCCTGGTATATAATGTTAATAAGTGCTTGTTGCCGGACTCATTGACAGAAAAACATTCCCCCAGGACAGGCCTGCACAACCTGATAGCCCAGCTGGCCACTTGTGATCCATCAAAGGATATCCTCTACATGGAAAAGATGTTTTCCTCTACATTTTTCTGCAGGTCACTGAAATCCTTTGGCAAGCCATAAGTAGCCCTCGGTGAGCAGGTTGTCCTGGCCTTCCCTAAGGAATTCTGGATACCAATGAAATCATAAGTTCTGTCCCTAACCCTGTTTCTTTTAGGGAAGTTTTAGATAAAGTAGTCATTGTCATCACCAATAGTACTTGATAGAAACTAATGAAGTAGATAAATGATACTGTCTATTATATTGCTTTTCTTAGTGCAAAAGCTTCTCAATTTCATGTAACATAAATCCTATGACCTTTTGTGGATTCCTCTGTCCCTTCCAACCCCTTCATTTTACAAATAAGGAAAATGAGGACCAGGAAGAATATGGGATTCGCCTAGAGTACTCCTAGACCATGAGTCTCCAGAAATACACCTCGTGCTTTTCCAACTTCAGCATGCTGATTATTTTGCATTTGATGTGAATCACTGTGTACTAATAGTTTTGATTGTTATTTTGATCAAACTTATAATTTCAAAGAAATTTTGAAATATTTCACTAGGGCTTTTCTAATTTGAGGAATGAATTTAATTTTTTTTTAGAAGATCTGCAGTGTATTCACTTTCCTTTGTGGGCTATGTGCATTATAATTTTTTTAATCTAAAGAAAATTACTTAAGAATAGATCTGTACTATTAAATTTGTCATATAATAATCACAAAGTCTTAAATAATTATTTTGTATTTCACAGGAGTGTAAGCCATTTTAGGAAAGCAAATGGATATAATTATTGTAATGCAGTAAACACAGCTGTTCTTTAGAATATTTACTACTACTGAAATAGTTGTTTGTTTCCTGCGTTAGACCTTGTAGGCCACAGCTGACTAAAGGAAGTTAAAGAGCTTCCTGTTTTAAAAAGTAATTAATCCTCAATTTAATTTTTTAATGGAAGTTTCTTCTGTTGGCTTTTTTTTATCTTTAAAAGAGATAGGTTTCTCTGCTCAAGACTCCCTAGACCATTCCAGAAAATCTGTAATATAAATTCATTATGATCAATATTGTATTTATTGGACTTACTCTAACCCCCATGATCCTTCACAT